AAATCAGTTCAGTATCTTAACCTTAATTCTTAAGTGCATCAAAGGAACAATTGTGAATAGACAAAGGTGTAATATCAAGCGAAGTTACATTAATCCGACTTTAGTTATCTTGTTTACAGATTGCTTGTCAGTCAAAGTAAGTGTTTAGTTCGTAATTATATTACAAAGGTGCAGATTCAGTTATTAGATTATTGTGTAACTGTTTTCGTACAAATTCATAGATGGGTTTGAAGACCTTGTTTTGTGTTTTCATGCAAATCATTTCATTTATTCTTTCAAATACTTCACACACATTCTTTATAATTAGCTCTCAATAGAAAATCATTTTTATTTTGTCTTGAAGTAAACAAGTTATTATTTAAATGTTTTCTTTATCTTCATTAAATGAATATAATGCGAATTGAGAATGTAACATAAAGTTCAGAAATATAAAAATGACAGTAATATAATTACAGTTGTAACAGTTGAAGAGAAATAATGGGGCTTATTGTAAGAAATAAGAATATTACATTAATAGGTGTACTGAATGTTAATTATTGTGTAAATATTAATTAGTATTTTAGTAATTTAGTAATTTTTTAGTAACTTTTCGTTAAAAAGTTATATGCTTATATAGGGCGAACCAATATAGATTAAACTAAACTTGTCTATTGATGAGCATGCAAACCATATATTCTGAGGTCCTTTCGCCAAGAGTTTTGGTAACTGCCGAGAGATGTTTTTTCTTAAATTTTGTGTTCTGATTACCATTGTTTCAGGAAGTTGTATTTATCACTTCTCATTACATGGTCTATATAACTAGCTTTTCGATTTTTTAGAGTTAATAATAGCTTTTTCTGTCCCTGGTACAGGGGTGCCGGCTTTTATAAAATCTCGTGGCTGCTCATCGAATATGGGTAAATATAACAAATTTCCAGATTGTTACGTTTGTTGTATTTATTATTTATTATACCTTTTTATATATGTAACATAGATAACAAAATTACAAAATACCTATCAATTTATGTCATTTTTGCAATTCTATTGAGTATAATTTGTGTTCTACCGAAATAAAACTTTTTAGTACAGATATCAATTTGTGAAAATACTAATTATATCCAATACAGTCGTGTAAGGGCAGGCAGTAAAACAGACGTAAAAAGTGATTAAACTTTTCGAGACTAACAAATCTATTTCCAAAAAATTTTTTTTTAATTTTAAACTATACTAACTTTTTTTACCCAATACAATAATAAACTACAACCTTCTTAAGGCCAACTCTCCGTAAGCGCCATTAAAAAATAAAGAAGAATACGAGCCCAGTAAATGATGTCTAGAGATTGTCCTCGGCCAAACATCGATTGTTATTAAAGACCAAGCGGAGACTTTTAGTCTTTTTTCTTTTTAATTTAAAAATCAGGTCTCTTTGTATTTGGCGTTCCGAAAGTAGTTTACAATTTTCTTCTAATTTTTTATTATTATTATCTCTAAACTCTCTAAACCCCTTTAAAATTCCCACAGACTCTCTTTTATTTAATACAGGCGGACTGTGCAGAGGCCAGTTTGCACAGTTTACCTGTACTACCAGGCTGTCGCGCACATATGCAATTTTATAGTAGATAAATTTTATCTGCAGTGACTTCGTCACACACTCAATTTAGCACATTTTCCTAAGTGAAAATGGCCTCCCGAGATACAGTTGGTTTATACCAAAGTATGATGTGCATCATGCATGTACAAATTACTTTCTACGCTGACTGACTTTTTTCTACTATTTTCTACTTTCTACCGTTTTTGAGTTTGGTTTGGTTTGGTTAAAGCTGCTAAACTGATTAGAGTGATTAGTCTTGAGGTTTATGCTCGTGGGTACTGGAGCACATGGGAGCACCTGAGTACCCACGCAGACGGCGCCCCTGCCCTGGTATGTGAAGAATAGTAGTAGAATTACTGTACAGGGTGGCTCGAATTCGACGCTTATCATTGGGATTTCGGAAACCGTAAGAGATACAGGATCGGTTAAATGGAGGCAAAGTTGCGCAATTTGATGCTCAATAAAATGCCGTATTGCGTTTTTATTATTTTTTTTTTGCATAAAATATTCTGGTGATGGAATTTTCTGTACGAAAAGTCGGCAAATATCAAAGTGACTATACAGGGTGCTACAAATTCGAGGTACGAGCATTGGTATCTCGGTAACCGTAGTAGATACGAACATGGTTAAATTGGGGCGAAGTTGCGTATTAGGATGTTTACCAAGATGCCATTAAAGAAGTTTTAAAAATTTTATGGATTGCTGAGTTTTTTGAAAAAAAAAAATGATTTTTTTAAAATAAATTTTATTTTTTCCTGTCGTTACTTTTTCGAAAATCGAAAAACTAATTGCACATTCTGATAGCCACTTTATTACGGCTATTTGATGGTATTTTTAGATTTTCAAATTAGCTGATAATTTCTGAGATTCAGAGGCCAACTTATTTTTTTTAAATACGGACCTGCATTTTTTATTTCAGGTTTTGAAAGAACTCGGTCTCCTGAATACAATGATATGCCACACTTTATATTTTTTTTGTTTTTGGTATCTTAACAGCAACAAAACTATTTAATTATTATTTAAAATAATTTCAAGTCCGACTCATATTCATCGCAATAATATTGATCAGCGCTAATTAACACTGAATAAGGAAAATCGATCCAAATGGAAGATTCAAATAAATAATATTCAGGTCAGAAATTTAAAGATATCATTTTTAATTTTTTTTATTGTGAACTTGAAATCTCAGTGTGCGATCTAATAGTATACATAATATTAATCGTAGTTATTATAAATAAATCAACTTCTAAAAACTAGTTTCTAATGTTCTACATGTTCGAAAGGGTTACCACCCTCCCTATTGCACAGATTTATTTTAGTACAATTTTATTTATAGTTCTTTAAACTTTCTTCTTATACCGTATGATCGAAAAAAAATGGCGTCCAGTTGGTGTGGAAATGACGATCGATGACATTTTCCATATAATTTTACATATAAAATGACAGCGATCTTCATTTCATAGCCATCGCTGACGCCGTTTTTATTCGATCATACGGTACTTCCGAATGCATTTTGTACTCTTTATTGTAAATGTTGAGATGAATTGATTTGACACTTTTACAAATGACGTCAAGTAATAGCGATAGGTTCAGGAACCTCGCTGGGCATCATACTGCTCTATCATTTCCAATCCATCTTAGGGGAAAATGATTTTATTGTTTTTATTAAATTTATATTAATTATTTTATATTATTTTATTGCATTTGATTTTCCGTATTCAACGTTTTACCACACGTCATTGTTAAGTTTGAAAGCTTATCTCAATATTGTAACGATGAATAGATTAACTATTTAAAAAAACAAGGCCGGACTTTAGATTAGGTAATTAGTTTAAATAAATTGTGTTCAAATATCAAAACAAAAAACAATATTAAGTTTGGCATATCATTGTAATCAGGAGACCGATTTTTTTCAAAATCTGACATAAAAAATGCAGGTCCGTATTTAAAAAAATTAAGTTGACCTCTGTATTTCATAACTTATCAGCTAATTTGAAAATCTAAAAATACTATCAGATAGCTTTAATAAAGTGGCTATGAGAATGTGCAATTAGTTTTTTGATTTTCTAAAAAGTAACGATAGGAAAAAATCAAATTGATTTTCAAAAAAATCAGTTTTTTCCAAAAAACTCAGCAATCCTTGAATATTTTAAAACTTTTTTGATGGCATCTTGGTGAGCATCCCAAAGCGCAACTTTGCCCCAATTTAACCATGTTCGTATCTATTACGGTTACCGAGGTACCAATGCTCGTACCTCGAATTTGTAGCACCCTGTATATAGTGTTTTAAGAGTGATGAAAGGATTTAACTAAATTGAAAAAAAAAATCAGGTCCGTATATAAAAAAGTTAAGTTGATAATGGTCGCCAGAAGCCGAAACGTCAGCGTCAATATTTAATCACACAGAGTTAGCCATACAGCCGAAAAAGTGGCCATGAAAATGTGTTTTTCATTTTAAGTTATCTTAACAAATAAAGCCAGGAAACAATAGAAAACAAAATTGAAAATTCCGTTTTTTTTCGAATATATTCGGAAGTATTCGGAATTTTTCAAAATGCAATACGGCATTTTATTGAGCATCAAATTGCGCAACTTTGTCTCCATTTAACCGATCCTGTATCTCTTGCGGTTTCCGAAATCCCAATGATGAGCGTCGAATTCGAGCCACCCTGTACAAGGTGTCCCATTTTCGTGAGTTTTGCAGGGTTTCTCGTTTATGAGTAGAGCTGCAAAGATGCGATTTTTACATCACTTGCCGCTTTTTTATGAAACTAATGATACTACACACAGATTTGTCGTAGCCCTCTTTAAGAGAGAATAAAGCTTCAAGTGCGCCAAACACACTTCTAAATCTCAACTGTGTAATATGCTTTATTCGCTTGTAACATTTTTTATATTTACCTACCTTTGTATGTAGGTTACCTTTTAAGTTTTACAATCGCTTGTTTCCGTGTTGTACTGGACACACATATTCTATTAGAGGATCGAAGGACTGTTAATGCTGAAAGATATACAACAATTTGTTAGCCAACGGTCTTCGATGAAATACGGAAAAAGGACAAAAAACGTCGCATCATTCGTCATCACGACAATGCCAGCTCCCATTAAGAACGTCAAGTCAAACAGCTGAATATTTTAAGAGAAAAACATCGAGTTAATATCTCTTTACCTGTATTTACCCGATTTATCGCCTAATGACTTTTTCTTGTCTGACTGTCAAACAAAAACAAAAGATGCGCGATTTTTATCACCTCAAGAAGCTGTTGAAGACTTTTAAAACCATGTTTCTACGATATCAGCTTCAGAGTGGAAAAATTGTTTCCAGAATTGGTTTGAGCGTATGCAAAAATGTATAGACCTTAAGGGCGAATATTTACACTCATAATAATGCAATAAATGTCATATCTAATTTTAATTTTGTTTCTTCCAGGTTCTGATAGCATAGTTGGCATATCAGATATAACGGAGGGCAAGGGCTTGTGGAAAGCCCTTGTAGCCGAATTTTTGGGCACGTTTATCTTGGTTGCAGTCGGCTGTGGTTCCTGTATCGGCTCACCTACTACAGTACAAATTGCATTGACGTTCGGTTTGACAGTTGCAGCTTTAGTTCAGGTGAGTCTAATAAGATGCGTAGGTTTTTGTGTTACTTTGATAAAGATATTTGCAAATACTCCAATGCTGTTTGTCTCGCTGTTTGCTTTATAAATAAAAAACTGTATCGTTGATGCAGGTATATGATTTTCAATTCTAAGTTATGGTATTAATAACTATTTGATACTGAAACTTACTTTCATAAAATATAGCCACAAGCGTCTAAGCACAGCTTTTGCAAAAAATAAGTTAGATGAGGCTGCTTAGATAAGGTACAGTCAGGCTGAGAGCGTTGAGCGTCGCGTCGCACTCGATTCTCAATCGTCGAATCAATTCACTTAACTTAAATTAGACCGTTCAGGCAGACAGCGTCGCGTTTCTTCGCGTAGGCTGAGCGTCGGGGTTCGAGTTCAATGGGGCGGACGCTCGCCGCTCTCAGCCTGAATACTTTATGGTATTAATAATTATTTGATACTGAAACTTACTTTCATAAAATATAGCCACAAGCGTCTAAGCACAGCTTTTGCAAAAAATAAGTTAGATGAAATTTAAATATCTAAACATAGTGTACACTATGTCTCCGGATTGTCTTTACAAGAGGAAAAACTTTTTTCTTATTGACATTCTGAAAAAAATGCATTCTTCATAAAAACGTTTGCTTGTTCTAAAATGTTAATACCTAACGGTAATCCCTAACATGCAATAATAAAAAAATTCTATATAATTTTAGAGAAAATTAAGAAAAAAATAGAAATATGAAAATATGGTTGAAGTCCTAAAAATCAAAAGGCGTTTCTATGGTAACATCAATTCGATTTCATTCTTTGATAGATGGTTATTATTAATTTTGATTGTCATATTCTTTGCTGTTGTTAAAGTATATTTTCTGGTAACTATTATCGCCCTTTCCGTAGCAATAAGATAAATAAATTTTGTGCTTCTTTAATGTTTTAAAACAACAAAAAACATTACGTTAATAAAAATTGTATGAATTACAATTTACATTCTATCAAATAATGAAAACGAAGTTATATTACCCTAGAAACGCGTTTTAATTTTTAGGACAAAACCATATAAATAATAACCAGAAAACCATATACTGTTCAATTTGCGAAGTTTGAGTCTTTCGTCACAGATTGTGATTCTCTCTCTTATTCATGTTTATCACATGAAATGGAAATTTTGTGTCAAAAACGTAAGTCCATCATATTTCTTACATCGTACGATTATTTTTTTCTTTTTACATAGGGATCACCTTCATTACGTATAAAGGATCGTACTTCCTTGTCTAATGTGCACGAATAGAAAAAGGCAAACATATGTGTATTACCCGCCGAAATCGAACAAAACGAATCGTCGACTGTCAAAGTTGTCGTTAAATTTTAACGACTCCGATAGTTTCCCGTAAATTTTTGTGGGATTTTCTATGTTTGTTTAGTTATTTACGATTTAATTTGTGTTTAAACTGCCGTCCCGTTTTAGTGAAAAAGAACAACAGCTCATATTAAAAGTTATCGAGTATTTGAAACTCGAAAAAGATGCTGGAAACCCCCTTTTACCTGTGTCGGCTGTTTACGATGTAATTGGATAACTACCGAGTTAATATTTTCTAACTAAATCGAAAATATTCACGTGTTTTATAGAGAGCATCGGAGGCTTTAGGAATTTCATGCTCCACTGTGCAGAGGAAGTGTAAAAGAGGAATCTTAAAAGATAAGGAACAAAAAGCAGCAAAACAAGTCACAACATTCGCTTGTCCCGTGGAATTCCTGCTTATAAGATCCATGAACATATTATTTCTTCCTTTAACATGGTAGAATTGAAGCTCCTGTATAAAACGGCTATTCAAGCCTCTTGTGACCTGGATGTCCAACTTTTGTACCAACTTTTTGTGAAGCCAAGGAGGTCTGGTGTCTGTTGGTATGTGTTTGCTTTCTCATTTTTCTGTTGTATCATGGCCCTAACTCCAATGGCACAGAGGGTGTCCCATTTTTTGTGTGTTTTCCAGGGTCCTCGGTTTTTGTCCTAGCCCTCTTAGTTTTTGATATAAAAGGCGAAATTGAAAATGTTTGCATTTTTCGACCCCCTTCATATATCGGTTATCTTAGAACTTATCGAAAAGATGAAAACTGAGCCCAATAGATCTTTTAACCTAGAATCCAGTGGCGTAACTAGTTTTTCGTTGGGAGCTGTCATTTGTGAAATATAATGTAAACTTATGTTTTCAAATGAGACCCTATATATTATTTTTTTTTTATTAAATTTGCTATGTCATGAGCTTTCTAAAAATATAATATACCCTAGACTTATTTTCGTAAATATAAGGCAAAAAAAATGTATTTTTTAACTTTTTAACAACATAGTTCAAAAGAGAATTATATTATATTATATTTTATTTTATTTAATCAGATAATTCTGCTTTCCATCATTTTTCTCATAAACTGCACTGAAAATGAGTATAAGCATTTTTATTTTGAGAGTTGGCAATTAAATCTAAAAGCTGCATAACCAGCTTTTCGGTTTGATTGCCAACTTTCAAAATAAAAATAGAGAATAAATAAATAAAAATTTTGAATTCTGCCTATTTCGGATACCCGTATTAGTAAAATACGCTTCGTCCGATCAAATGATCTCCTTGTGAAAATTATTCACTTTTCCACAATGTGGAAGTACTTTAACATATTCCACAAGGTGTTTGAAACTTATAGTATTGATTATAGAAAGAGATACTTAAAAGTCAATTAATTTAGCTAAGTATTGCTAAATTAATTGCTTTTTATAAAAAAATCATCAAAATCGGCCCACTAGAACAAAATATATTAAACTATAAATTACATGAAAATTTTAAGGTGCCCGTTTTTCGTGCTGGTGAGTGTATTTTAAACGAAATATAAAAAATGGATTAAGAAGAAAAAGTTGTAAATTGCGGTGTTTTAAAAGTGAAACACGAATTTTCACAAAACTGAAGTACACACAATACCATTCATTTAAAAGAAAGTAAAAAAATAATTACTATTGTTTGCTATTTTTCCCGCGCAGTAATTTTTATTTTACTACCGCAATTTTCTGCCTTGACAATCGGCTATTAACCAGATTTAAATCGTAAAAAATGAAACAAAATTATAAATATTAATCTGAAAAAAGAAATACTTCAGGCGTGACGATATGCTATAATATCCGCAGAAAACTAGAGAAAACATTTATGATTTACAACTTTCTTTATATTACCTACTACAAAACAATAAAATTGTTTGATAATTAAATAATTCTGATTTTAAAAACAACTTAGGGAATAATCCCCAAATATGAAAATCTGATTTAATTCATTTATACACACAGAATTAGAATTAGAATGAGTAGGAGGTGATAAATCACTGCGACCTCAGATTTATTGTGTCCCACTTTCTTGAGATATAACTCATCATACAGTCCCAGAGCTTTGAAAAAAGCCAGTATCTGGGACGGTTTTATAGAGGGTAGTTCTCCATCTCCAATATCAGTCGTACCAAAGTTCATGGCACGAATGGTTGTCTTCTCGGCGCACTCAGTGATGAGGTCACAGATATATTATTATATTAAACACACACAAACATTGCTATTAATCATTTTTTAATTACAAATACTCTAGTACATATAGATCATATCAAATCAATGACTAAAGAATACAAGGACATATAACGCCCTTATACGGGATGCAGCAGAATTTGTGATGTTGGACGCCATTTTTTTGGTTGTAATGAATGAGCGGTCAGCTGGTCATCAGCGACAATTTGAGCGTGTGTAGTGAACTTTGTATAAACTTTATTACAATGGTGATTAGTTGTTCAGGATTCAACTGTAAAAGCCGCAGCGATAAAAAAGAGCCAGGAGTTACGTTTCATAGGTAAATATACTAGTATGTCCACTCCACATTTTTTAGCATTTTCTTAGCTTTCTTATTGAATTCGATAATTATTTTTCTGACATTACTTGATATACTTGATATGTGCTATACGTCGATACTAGTTTTATACCTTTTGTTAACAACTTTTTTTCGAGATAAATTGGTATGATACCACAGCATACACCATAGGCGTAGTCAAAATAAACAAACGTAGTCTAAACAACCAAACCAAACCAAATCAAACAGCTAAGTAAAGAAAAATATGTACCGCGGCACTGTTTGGTGGTATGGTAACAATTTGGTCTCGGGTACTATTAGTCCTTGTATTCTTTAGTCATTGTACCAAATAAACTTTTAGTCAGGTGATTACGCTTGATTGGCACAGCGTTGCCCACTTTCACATATTTTCTTTAAATCAAAATATTTTAGGGAACAAAAATAAATTAATTATAAATATATAAACAGTTATTATTTATATCAACAGAACTCACCCCCTTAACAGCTATTAATGGACATACAGGGCCAATACTGCCGCTTTCCCGTTCAAAATATTCTAATAAGGTTGCGATGAGTGTTTTGCAACAGCTATTAAGCTATCTTGTACACTTTGTACTAAAAGATGTTCTAAAAAGAACATTGTTTGACTGCAAGGTCTGCTAGTAAACATTTTTAAGCTTAAAGTATCACAAGACGAATGACAATGGCAGAAAATAAATAAATAAATGTGAAATTTAAATTCCAGTTAGTCAGCCCGGCACCGAATATGTCCATGGTTTGCAACAATGAATTTAAAAATCACGCCCACGATTACGTAACTAAAAGTTTAATTGGTATCACTTATACAGGGTGAGTTTCCTACGATGTTCTCTATGGGTATTTTGGAAACTACTGGAGATAGAGAGTGGGTTAAATGGGGAAACAATTGCAGTTTTGTGGGGTCATAAATATGCGCCTTTCAGATTTATGAAAAAGTTCATGGCTTACTAGATATTTTGAAAAAAACAAATTTCGGCTATTTTAAAAATTGTCCCTAATTCTATTATAAGCTATTTTAGACAAAAAGTTTTCAGATAAAAGTTGTATATAATCACATCCTTAATGAGATCGTGTCCTCTGTTTTTTTCTAAAGGCTGTCATT